CTGGAGACCCTCAGCTTCCAGAGCCCCAGCACTGGGGCAGACATTGTATAAAACATTTTAGGCCCAACGAACTATACAAAAAGGGGTGGAGTTTGATGTTTAAACTAATCTGACTAGTTATAGTGCATATCATGTTTGGATAAGTATCAGAATGATTTAAGTCTTTATTCCTTGTAAATTTGTGGTCTAAAGTTGTTTTAGTCTCATTTCTAGAGTTAACCTAGAGAAGATAATGCACTAATCTGGTGTGAGAGGAGAATAGTATAGTGGACATGAGGTAGTTTCAAATGTTTTTTGAGAAGACCTCTTTCACAGTTTATTTCTGTAGAGGGAGTAATTGGCCCGTATATGTTTTATGGCTTTAGCAACAGTAAAATAATTCATCAGTAACTCTGAATATTTTTAATTAGAAGCTAAATTTAATCCATCTTTAAAAAAAATTGTGTTACGGGTGGTTTTCTGCAGTACAGATTTCTTTTTGGGCAAACATAATCTGAATAGGAAAATTTATAATGTTCATTAGAAGACCAATTATAAAAGGAAGATCCTTCTGTATGAAAACAGAGTGTATCCAGCTATTGCTGTTCTCTACTGTATGGTTATATCACTGTAGAACTATACTCCAGGCCCTGGAAGTGGAGTAGGCCTCCATATAAAGAGCAAGGTGTTAAATAATTTCTGTTGATCTGTGTCTCAGCTGTACAATGAAAGCTAATTTTAACTGAGTGCTATATTAGAAATACGTTGTTAATAAACCCATATCAAATTAGTAGTCATTATAAAGTAATTGGCGTGGAAAATAGAATTGTAACTGCTGGATTTCTTGTAAATGCAAGTCCAAGTTTTAGCTACTAACAGGTTCTATAAAAGTTACAAGACAGTGAGAGTGAGCAGGGTATCTTAGAGTTAGACTTTAATGTCAAAGTTAGCCCCTGCCTCATCCTAGAAAAGCTTTGATCTACCTGAAACAACCAGTTATGAATCTGTCTAGATAATAATCTTCATAAAAATTTGATTGCCTCCAAAATGAATTTCATGTCCTTACAAGTTTTTTTTTTTTTAAACTCTTAATTCTAATGGAGTTCACATTGTGCTAGGTCCACGGCATGTCATTTTAGGGCCCTTTTCTATTTCAAACTTCTATATTAACAGATAAGAGGCAAAAATTGACTTTAACAAGGTTTTGTGAAAAGTAGCATAAAATTTGTTTTGTGACCCAGTAGTAATTCTACATTTGGCAAGCACTTGAGGGTAAAAATGAAAAAAACATAGAGGTAGACTCTTAATCTCTTAAAATGTCATCATCTCAGGCCATTAAAAATTATTCTTTAAAATGAAAACAAATCACTCCTATAAAATGGAAGCAATTCACAAGCTGTTGATTTTTTTAATCCAAGTTGCCTGTGCTGTATGATTGATGCAAATTGCTCCAAGCCCTAATAATAAATGAATTTTGAAAGCTGAAATTCATCTAATTGACTTCCTCTGCAGTGTAGTGTTTCCTAGGCAGTTATTTTGTAATACCTATGTCAAAGGGTTAAACTAAAATGCACAAGGAGTCATCACTCACTGATGGCTTTTTATACAGCTGCCAAACAGTATTTCAAAGGGAGCAATTCCTTACTCTCCTTTCACAACCTACCTGTTAGCATTTCTCTTTCTAGGTATTGTGTTCCCTGCCTCTGCTTTAGCAGGCAAAGCAGCTTGCCGTAGATTCTTACTAGATAAAACTTTGCTTTTATGGTATGAAATTGTGGCGAGATGTTTAGAAAAGCATTATGTATCTCTGTTACTCTGATTCCTTGCATTCCTTTCAGCGTTTCACAGTAGCGTGGAAGTAACACTGAGCTTTCTTAAGCCAGATAGTTAGGAGATGCTGTAACGAAGCCCACGACTGCAACGATGTCAAGTCAAAGTGCGGTCCCCAAGCCAGCCTTTACCCTTGCTTTCCTGCAGCAATGTGCCAGCTAAATCAGAGATGCCATGTGTTTAAAACGAAAACTAAAAATCCTTAGTTCTTGGTTTTCTAACTCCATTCCTCTGTGGCTCTGGCATCGTGTCTGTGTGAAAGACTAATGGAAATGGATTCTCCCTTGCTTCTGCATTACGGGCACGTCAGCATGCCTCACTGAGAAGAAACTGTTTGTTTTCATTACGTTTCACACGTCATTGGCAGTGCTAACCGTGATAGAAACTCATTTATATTCTTGTTACTGAGTAGCAGAGAGGATAACATAAACCCAGAAGCTGGCAATGTTTGCAGGATACAATAGGCAGGCTGAATGGGCATTGCTTTTGGTGCAAATGTTCCTGTTCTGAGTAACTGAGACAGAAATGGCAGAGACAGACCTGCTAAAGTTGTTACCTGACTGTGAATGGTGCAGAACTATACATGATGAGCATTTTCAGTTAATGTCTTATGCTGTGTTTATACTCAAGAGATTTCAAATGTTACAGAGAACGCTGCTGCATTTCAGATCATCTAAGAAAATGTGTTGTGTTTTTGCTTAAAAATTTAGTTCAGACAGCAAATCAGATCTATCTTTTAAGCCACTTAGCCTCCCTGGCACTAGGTAGAGGGAGATTTCATGTTCCTCTTAATGTAGCCAAATCTTAACTCCTGCAGTTTGTTTTATTTGTGTTAAGAACAGTGTTGGATCATGTTCAGCTTGACACCCATCATAACCCCACATCTCTCAGGAGAGCTACTACTCAGCCAGTCAGCTCCTAGTCTTTACTGACACACAAGTTATTCTTCCCCACATTTGCTAATGTTTCCAAGCTTTGTGTCATAGAAGAGCTGTAGTCTGCTTATGCTGATTAAGCTACCAGCCTCCTCCCTTATCCATTCCACTAGCTATTGTAAAGCACCTTTCCCTTGTCTCCTTAGAGATTTCAGGGGAGGCTGTGACTGTTGAACCAGGGCTTCTCGCTCTTGCCCTCTCGCTCTCTCTCGCTCTTGCCCTCTCGCTCTCTCTCGCTCTTGCCCTCTCGCTCTCTCTCGCTCTTGCCCTCTCGCTCTCTCTCGCTCTTGCTCGCTCTCGCTCTCTCGCTCTTGCTCGCTCTTGCTTGCTCTCGCTCTCGTGCTCTCACTCTTGCTCTTGCTTTCGCCCTCTCTCTCTCTTTCTTTTTTTGTTAGTAAGCAAATGATATAGTCCTGAGCCAAGTAACAAAGTCTGATCCAAAAGATGAGCATCAACCTCTGATTAACACTTCTTACCTGCCTTACCACTGAAAAGATTGAATCATTTATTTTAGAATGAGGAAGTACTCAACAGCCCCAAATTGTTTTAATACTAGCATTACTGGGGCTAATTTCTTGCCCAGCTAATTAAGACTTCTGGTAGTGACTACATGATTCAGACTGCACTGTTCTTCACTTCCTGACTTGAAAGTGCTTCCCTCTATAATGACAACCTTATGTTACTCTTGCTGACATGCACTGATGCACTGACCCTACGTAAACTGTAGGGTTGTATTCTAATGGCAGTAAGAAACGTGCTTCTGTGTGACACATTTTTCTTAATTTATTCCTTTGTCTCTTTTGCATGATGTGATACTATACAGCAATTCTGAACCGTGGCCAGCTGGAACTTCATGTGGGAAAACTACTACTTAGTTTTATTTTTACTCTGATTGTCTAAACTGTTGAACTTGAACTGTGAACTTGCTGTGACCTCCCTGTAGCCATGGGAAATATTCCTCTAGACCTCTGTTTTAGTCAGTTTGCTAGAGATCTTCCTTGCCTTGAATTGATAATAGCCTGTTGATAAGAGCCCAGATAAATATGCAAGAACATTTCTTGATTTCCTTGCCCTGTGCAGCATACCTGTATTTCTGTGCAGGTGACTGGTGGAGTCAAATGTTGTCCAATTGCTTATATTCTCTGTCTCCGTATGCTGTCAGTAATTACGTCAATACAGGATTATGACACATCTGTCTTTTTAGTGTTTTAAGGAGGCATTAGATGGGGATTTTTTAGTCATTAATAAGTTCAGGGATATTGCTAAAAGGCTTATAAGTAAATCTTTGTTAATTTGGTTATACTACTGATTTTTAAATTTATAATGTCCTGTGGGTAAATCTTGATTCCAATTTATGTGAAAAATATATGATTACAAGGCAGGAAACATTGTTCGGGAAAGTCTGTGAAACATAACATATGGTTTGTTGTCCTCTATTATCCCCCATTCAGCTGTAGAGATGGGTTTGGGGAAAAAAAAGAAGTATCCTTACTCCCCTGCTTAATGCTACTTGTGCTGCAACTCAGCTTAACAGCTTAACTCCTGCTACTTGTCTTTTACATTGGTACAAATGAATGGGCAGGAGGAGGGTAGGAGAGAGAGGGAATAAGGAAAGCTGTAGCTCTTTCCCCCCTGTTCACCAGCCAGGGAAGTTGTCTGGGTGCAGGGAAGTGAAGTAATTTACTATAGGAATGAGTTGGGAGAGTGCCATGGTGCTGGGAGCTTCTGACTGACGTTTCACTTTTGATCTCCTTTTTTGGTGATGTAGCTAAATATCTCAGCAGGCTGAAACAGTACTGTCTGCTCTCTCCTTTTGTCATTATTTTGCACTACCCTCACCCCATCTGCCCATCCATTTATGTGTTGCAATATAAACTGCCTCATAACACATAGCTGAAATGAACTGTCCTTTAATGTAGGAATCGCTCAGAACTTTTGCCTCAGTCTTGCTTTTGATATTCATTTGGTGAATTATACTATAGTCCAGATTGCATATTAACAGTCCTTAACCTCATAAAAACAATAGTTGATGCCTTTTATTTCATTTGCATTCCATATGCTGTGTGATGGCTTGCTATAAGAATTTATGCTGATGGAAATTGCCTATGATGAAAAGTATGTCTGTATATCTGTTGCATCACAGCTGGAGAGCTGTGGGCAATCCAGGGAAAACACTATCCAAAATAAACGTGTATAAGTATGATTACCTCCTACTAAATAAATAGTAAAACATCCTCTTATATTATACTTTTAAAGGGTGAACCAGGTTTCATTGGTCCACAAGGAGAACCTGGATTACCAGGGCTACCAGGAACAAAGGTAAGGTTATTTGGTTGACGCTCTATTACGAAGCCCTTAGACCCAAAGTCAAATTCAACTTGCTTGGCACGTGTGCATCTGTATTAGTGATGTAAGAATCTTTTATCCAGAAATAAATAAGGTATTTGTCAGAATCCATTTTTATAAACGTCCAGAAAATTTAGAGTTCAGGTTAAAATGTAGTGCTTGGAAATGTGAAAAGTCATAGTTCCTGGACTACCAAATGTTTGTCTTTATAGTGATGCCCTCAAAAAATGTGAGTGCAGATGCTATATCTATTCGTGACTTGTTTAAGTTCATTAGTTTCTTTTGCTAATGTTAGCATCTCAAAAGTCCTTTATTCAAGAGGCAGAGCATGCCCATCTTAAGAAGCTATATTTTCATAACCTTGTTAAAAAGGTGGGGGAAGTGTGTGCAGATATTCAAACACTGAAGCTGCACACTTTATGTGAAAATATAGGTTCCCAGGGGGGCTTTTTTTTTGGTTGGGTTTTTTTTTTTTTTTTTTTTTTTTTTTAGCCACTATGTAGCAAAGTTAGAATATTAGGAGTCCAAAAATAGCCTGGACTAGCCCTCACAGTTTGGGAATCCTTATTCCATTTTTTTTTCAGATTAGAAAAAAAAAATTCTTCATGAATCCCATTTCCATTTTAAAGCACCTCTACTTTTGTCTTCAAGAAGAGTATGTTTATTCAGGGTGAACTTCTCCAACCCATTACAAGTTGTAGATGAACTTGAAAATGTTTTCTTAGAGGGTTTGGTTTCTTTGGCCATGCTGAGTTGGTTGTGTACTGAAGACTGTGCAGTGTTTGGTGATATATTTGTATCTGCTGCAACAGGGTGACAAAGGGGAAGCAGGCCCTTCTGGGAAGGGAGAGCGAGGTGAACCTGGTACTCCTGGACCAAAGGTCAGTGTGATTTTACCCTGGAAATATTTTGTTAGTTTTAAATCTGTGAACACATCTTTTTCTGCTGAGAAACAGAACAGAAACTTGGCAAGTGAGCTTTTAAATGGAAATGCAATCAAAATACTCCAGTTTAGTCCTAAAGGCGATGGCAGTTTTGTGTTCACAGCTGTACAATTGCGATCTAAATTAACTCCGTTGTTTGGTCTACAAAGTAAAGACACTACCTACATACACTGTCATGGAGTTAGCATAATTTGTACCAGCTAAAGTCCTGGCCTCGCCAACTTTCAGCATCAAAGTGTGACCTCTTTGACCACTGTAGCTGTTGAATGCAGAGAAAATCCATTTTGCATGCTGTTTTCTCATTCTGTGAGAAAGAGAGATCATTCTGAATACATTTTAATGTTTTCTTCATGTTTTTCACTATGTAGCTACCATCAGGTTTTCCTTTCTTAATACATCCTGAAAACCCTAAGGCATCTATGCCCCTCAGCCAGTTGGTTTCTTATTCATCTGAATAAGATGGTGGGCAAAAACATTGTAATGCTTTAATCTCCTTATCTTAGGATATTTAACTATCTTATCTATTGCTTATATATAATTTTTCAGGAGCTATGGAATGAACATGGGTCATTCCTGTAAAGCAGTGTCAATGGTATCCACTATTTACTAATACCAATGCTACTTTGCCTTTTGAAGGATGGAATCTGTGGCCATTGCATGCTGATATGAAGGAATATGTTACTCTGGGTGCTATTAAGTTCAGTGCCCTTACAGATTCATGATCTTGATCATGTAAAATGAAGTGTTTCTGCCGATCCATACTGTAGTTAGCCGTTACTAATTTCTTTTTCTCTGCGCTCTCATTCCTCTACCGTTTTTCTCCTGTCCATCTTCCACCTTCCTTCAAACAGGGGAAAACAGGTGAACCTGGATCTAGAGGCCCAAAAGGGTCAAAGGTTAGTAGTAACAAAACTGTCTTTACTGGAGCAGCTAACACAATGATATCTAGCATAAGTAATTTCTAACATTTCACGGGAACTTCACTTGTCTTGAAAATAAACTGTAACAAATTCTGCAATTTTCTTTATAAATAAGACATTCTGACTTTCAACTTTAGGTACTAGAATCAAATGCTGTGTACTTTAAACACTGATTGTAGTTTTTCTGTCTGTTGTAACAACTATTTTTCTCTGTTTACTCTGGTTTTCCCAACGCCACTTAGTTTTTCTGTGGGCAACTGATGTACGTTAATTGTCTCAAGTGCCAGGAACCAGCTCCTGACTATGCCTGTGGAGATTTAATCAGTTTTTGCAGTAATTTTGTGGATCTGGCCTTTGATCTGTTAGGAATCAGCACTATTCCAGAACTGCACATTGAGAAAGGCTGGCCAATGAGTCCTACAAAGGCAAGGCTTGTAGGACGCGTTGCTGTTCTACCTGCTCAAAAACCTACTTTGATCCTGTCCCTTAAGTGCCCCTTAACCTCATTCACTCCCACGAAAAAGAAATGTTGGAAAGCAAGGGAGCTGATGAGTGGATTAACACAGCAGAGAGAGCAAAAGAGTAAATGAGTCTCTTGGTAGCCTCCAGTAACTGGGCACCTCCCAAATGCACCAAAAAAATAGAGGTATTCCTTTTAATTCCCTTTGTATCAAAAAGGGCATAAAATTTTTCAGGAGGTTTACCTGCATAACTATCTTGAAAATCTGGCCCACAGAAGTCAGCCTAGTAGTTAGGATCTTCATTTTTGAACAACTGCAGTGCCATGTATACCTCTTGCTGCCAAGGCAACACTGAAAGGAAAGATAGATGGCACCAGTTTCATTGTGTTCTGCCATCAATCACCCCTCCATATTCTTTTCTTACCCTCATGAAAGCTTTCTACTATTTTCTTATTACCACTAAATGAATTAGTCATTCTCCCTCAAATTGTACCAAATGTTTATATATCTCAACAGGAGCAAAAGTAGCAGCTCTTACCTAAATTCATTTTAAGTTAAATAAAAATATAAAAGCTGGCTATGAAAGCGACTTAGAAGTGAAATGAATTGTACTCACTGGATGTTGGGATATGAATATAAACATAAGTATATTTGAAATTCCTTCCACTGCTTGAAACATATTACTAACAGCCAGGAGGAAAATTCTGAGAGCAAGATGGTAAAGATCTTCAGCCTACCGCAGTAAAGGAGTAGAACTCTTTAATGCCGAAAGTAATGTGGTGTTTGTAGGCTCAGAGCAATGAAGTTCAGAAACTTAGTGGAGTCAAGATCATAGGAAAAAAAGTTTATGCACTTTGAAACATGTCTTTGAAAAAGCTGTCGAGTGATTTCAGACTAAAGACTATTAAGTGATTTGATTTCTCTAGCTTTCCCTTGAAACTTTTGATAATGGTGCCATTAAGAACAGGGAAATAATGTAAATTACTTAATCGGTAATCTGTCTTTTGGGGATTTCTTTGGGATTTCTTATTCCAACCCAATACAGCACTCAGTAACAATTCACAAAGAACCAAATATATTATTGTCAATCCTGCCACTACACAGATTTTGAAGGAATTTCTCCTGTCATTGAGATCCACATTCTGTTAATGACGAGAGGCATTTTAAACTGGGTTATTTAAGGCAAGCATATTTAAAATGGAACAACTATCTAATATATTGTCAGATTGCTCATGTTTTCAAAAATCCTTCCTACATAGGGTGATACAGGTGGCAAAGGTGACACAGGATCTGCAGGTCCACGGGTAAGTCTAATTCTCGTTTCAGCTCTTTGTTTTGTACTCTTAGATTCAGTCCACACTATGAATTGAAATTGTAGCAGCAACTCCAGTTAAACTGGTGAAATCAGTCACTTAACTCTGGTAGAATGTGTGTTGCTAGCTGGCATTTAATATCAGTAAGAGTCCTTGCTATTATTTGAAGTGATCTCCTGTTCACAGTTCACGGGCAGGATGTTACTTCCCAGATGTTCTGATGTTGCTCACAGCCAATATGAAACTAGAGCATTGAAACTGCTTAAATATTTAACCACAGTGGTTTCATATATTTGTTTTGCCTGCTGCAGCAGAGTTCACTTTGCTGTGACTTGCTTGTTTATACCTGTCTTTAAAAAAACCTGTTTTCTCATAAAACAATCTTTAGTTTTACGCTGTTTTGCAGTTTGTAGTAATACATTGTAAATGCAACCGAATTCCAAGACAGCACAATCAAGTCAAGGCATATGTGAGTAGTTAAGTGTCAGAAAGCAATCCTTTCAATGCTAAGTCACGACAAGCATAGAGAAAATATCATTTTAGTAACTATGTTCAGGCAGGCTTTTTACTAGCAGTCTGAGCTGCATCAGGAAGGAGAACTCGGATCAACACTTCTTTTAATTCATTGTATGGTATTTCACTCCTTTTGAAAGCCCTTTTTCTACTAATGGTAAAACAAGAGGGAAACAACTAAGGCACATGGATTTACTAAGCCACCAGAGTCCCATCTCATGAGAACAATCAAATATGAATGAGAGCTCTTCATGTCCTTTTGGTTCTCACCTGCGTAGGGAGCATAAATCAAAACTTGAACTAGCATCTGAGAATTTAGAAGTTCAGAAAATCCTTTCAAACCAATGTAGAGTACATTGGACATGCATAGAACAGTCATTTAGGGTAGTCCTTGGCTGCTGTCTCAAAAAGTTGTTGTGGGGGAATATATTACAGGGACCACCTGGACAGAAGGGTGATCAAGGTGCAACGGAGATAATTGATTATAATGGCAATATCCATGAAGCTCTGCAGGTATGTAAAAATAACAAGGCTGGACTGGCTCTGTCTGGTCTGGGAAAAAGCAGTTTGACGTCATTGTATATCTCTTTTGCATAAGTCATGAGAGCACTGCAGGCAAAGATTTGCTGAGCTTATTAATGAGAAATCTCTTTCTATATTTGGAAACTAGGTTCACTGTTTGGTGTTAGACAAACTGTTTCCTTGATACGATTTAGCTGAGTGAATTAGTTTCATTTCCCATGGAGTGTACTGACATCATCTAATGAGGATAGAGCTGATTCATTGCTGGCTCTGGTGCTTAGTGGTGAATTCATGTAATAAACCACATAGGTTTAATATTGACATTCCTTTTTTCTGCCTTTTCCTCCTCCTCGTCCTAAAAATGCAAAGAGCAGAATATGTGAGATCTGGAGGCCAGGTCACATGATTCCACTAGCAAGCTGTGGATTCAATCAGCAACTTGAGTACGTTAAATAGACTGAGCACTAGTCTTTCCGCTTACTCGTTTCCAGAAAACTAATTTTGACTTGTGTGTAGAAAAGTGTGGAGGATTGAAGTGGGGTTACAAAAAGAATGAGTGAGTGTTCACATGAAAGCAAAGCATCAAGCTGACGTATGTCATTGCACTTAAGGTGATTTACATTGTAATATACCCAGATGCAAATTCTATGCAGTGCAACCCCACCGAAGTGAATGGTTTTGCTTATGTGCAACTGAAGACAGAATTTGCATTGTGCATCTGATCATTTTCTCACTGAAGTTGTTTGGTTTTTTTTTTTTTTCATATTTCCTCAGTGGAAGTGACAGATGCGTCATTTACTTTTCAAGATTCTCCTGAAAATAAAAATTCTCACTGCCTTTACTAAAGTCTAAAAACCTGTATCTTGTTGTTAAAGCTAAGGCTGCTCTTCCATTGTGATCCTGAATGGTGTGTGTGGGGAAATCTACAGAGGCAGGATCTGAAGGTCTGCATTATACCTGTCTCACAGAGTTTACTCTTAAGGGAGTTCAAGCACCCACCTTTCAACTTTTTAAATCACTCTCTGAGTTAGATGCCTAAAGTAGCCTGAAAATAATGTGTATTACCAGGCATAGATTTACCAGGGGTTTTAGCCCCCATACTACCTGTATTAGTTCCTTTTACCTTAACACTGACATCTGTGTTACTCCCAAGCGCTGTGTAACAGCTTGTCAGAAAAGCTGTAGCGTGTAGAGAAGTCTTAAAAAGGGACTAAAGCCTACTGCAGTGAGTGAAACAGATTAAGAGGCCCTTATGCCATTGTAAATCATTTCAAATGTCATCACCTTCTGATCTAGGGCAACAAATAATTGATATCGATGGGAATGGCTGTGCAAGGACAGTGTAAGTAAGATTATATAGGATCAGTCGACAATGTGCTTGCCAACTCCAGCTCAGTCCTTTTACATGGCAAGTACCCATTCTTAAGCCTCCTGGTGCCAAATTCTCAGAGGCTCTGGGATTTGCAGCAATCCTGTAGAAGCTAATGAGAACTCTCAGTGCTCAGCACATCTCAGAAGTTGGTCTGCTGATTTAAGAAGTTGACAAGAGTTCACAGGATCCGGGCCATCTGCATTCTTTTAGAATTTAGTAATAAATCATCAAGCAGCCTAGGAGCCTCAGGACAATTTACAGTCACTCTCCTTTCTGCCTCCTACTCTGTTTCATGTGTCAGCAGAGAATAAGACGTCTTAGTCCTTCAACACTGAAAACTGTGATCTTTAAATTATCATTATAGTTTGAGCAAGACCCCTGCTGAGTTTACGTGGCTTTCACAAACTGCATCTCTGTATCTAAATCTCTCTCCAGGCCTATTCTGCAGAATTCCCTGAGGTAAAAGGCAGTAGCTACGAAAGTTTAACCTTTGTAGGGACTGCAGGATCAAATGCTTTATATTTTAAAATAGTAATATACTGCTGAAAATGCGCCCATCGGTGTAAACAATCAAACTTCAATTTGCAATGGTTAATTTAGTTTTTTATATCTAGGTAAACTCAAATTTTCAGTATTTTTAGAATTTTTGATATGCTTCCACATGTATGTTAAAATGCATGACATGAGAATATTAAAGCCATCTGTTAGAGAAAGTTTTTTTATTTTTTTATTTTTTTTAAGTACTTTGTATTGAGCTGATTCCAGTTTCGTGAAAACAGCATATATATTGCTGCACTGGCAAATACAGACTCTCTTTTAAAGCTAAAAACAGAAGATTTGCAAACTTTTTTTATTTTGTTAGGAAAAAATTACAAAAACTAAATACTTCTTGTTCCATATATGCCAGTAGACTCTTCACAGTCAATAGAAAAGCATGTGCAAGCAGTAGGATTTGGGGATTTTACTCTGTTTAAAAATATAGACAAGTATTTTAATTATATCTGAACACTTTTTCACTTGCTGGTAATATCTTCTTTGGCAAAAAATGATGGCAAGTCTAACTATCTTGCCTCTTTACACGGTGAAAATATATCTTTTCTCTTCCAAACATTTAAAGTAGAACTGCAGTATAGCTTGTTTGGTGGACCAGCGGTTTCAGATTTAGAACTTAACATTCTAGTACATCGTAGTATTTCATATTAATCTCTGTGTTACATCTCAGCTCTAGCAATTATATTTGTTAATTAAATATTAGCACAAAACCTGCTGAGATCGCAATATGTAGGCCAAGTCATTTAATCATTTTAAGACATACATACATACATACACACACATACACACACACACACACAATCTTGCTTATTTAATCATCTCTTATTTGATCTTCTAAATTTTATGAGAACTTAACAGTCTTTGTGTATGTAAAATCCTGATTCCCGTAGAAGCCAGGCAGATAGCACAGCACTAAGAGTTAAAAATAACATGTTTTTTACTCTGTTTTTTGGAGACATGGTTTCTCCCAGATGCAGCATAAGTTTTGTGCTAATGAGAATTGTAACAAGCAGAATAATATATTTCCTTGTTCAGTTCTGGTAACGGTGTCTCTTGTTAATACATTTTGCCAACAGAGGATTACCACCCTAACTGTCACGGTAATTCTTATTGCATGACTTACTGTGTTTCATAGAACTTGTCTTTTGTGTTATAGCTTGTTCATAATTCTGCCAATGCAGAATATATCTACATTGGATGTTGACCCAAATCATCATCAATTATATTTATTTGCTCAGCATTCTTTTAACAGAGAATACATTGTTGA